TAATGCATATAAATGAAAGAATTTTTGGATACCTTTATATACTCTGCAAACATAAATTGTCCAAAGCTTGACCACTGTGATGATATGACTTTTAAAATTTTTATTTAAGTCTTAATGTTTTTAGAGATGAGGTCTTTCTATGTTTCCCAGGCTGACCTCAAACTCCCGGGATCAAGCCATCCTCCAGTTCAGCCTCCCAAGAACCTGGGTCTACAGGTGCACAGCACCACACCTGGCTTGTGATTATGTAACTTTCAAATGAACTGATCAATGTCAAAGGTTACTGCTAGGGTCCTTGGATCAGAAATCTAACCCTCTTTAAGAAACAACATTAGAAGGGAATCATTTAAGAAAGATGTTGCTGGCGTGTAAAACCAATAGCAGTATCCTACCCCTCAGAGTTCTAGAGGAATATAACTGAGCGTGAATGCTAATTAAGTCACTAATTTCATTTTTGCCCATTATATAAACTTATATCCTATTATTTCACGTAAATTGGTGCATGATGGGGTGGGCTAGGCCCAAGGGCCAGAGCCTCAGAGACCCCGGGGCCTGGATGCCCTAGCCAGCCTCCTCCTAAAGGGGAAGGAAGTTGGAAGAGGAATAGGATGGTCTCTCACCACCACTTCTCTTTCCCAAAAAAGTGAGAAGTGTGGAGAAAGGCACAGGAGAAACGTGAGGCATCAGAGGAGACAGCAAGACAGCCCGCGTGAGAATGAAGGATGAAGGTGGCGGTGAAGCAGATGAACCAGCTTCCCAAGCATGGCGCATTCTTAGGTTAGAAACGCTCTGCAAGACTTGGCATGAAAACACGGCACTTTGGGAAAATGAAACTGGTAAGTTACATTCCTTTACTTTCCTTCCTCGTTATTACTTAGTGTTCCACATTTTTATACAAAATGTTTATTAGTTAAGTTACAGACCCAGCAAGGGGGTTTCTATGGTTGGCTCTGCTACCAATTTGCTCTGAAGACTCAAGAACTTCCTTCTGACATGTGGTTGAGTCCAGAAGAGTGGACTGATGGGAGTCTTCCAGTTTTCCTAATGTTCTAAGAGTCTGCAATGCACTACAAATACACGTGGAAAATTGTCTGTTGGTACAACACATGAAATAGGAAACTTCTGCACCCAGTTAAGAGGAGGGGTATTCCCCATCCCTCCCTGCCTGAAGCAAAGAGATAAATAGAAGTTTCCCATCCTGTTTGAATGGATCCTTTTCCCCCTTCTAAACTAGAAATTAAAACCTTGAAAATGATGAAATACAGACAATTTATCAAAGCCAGCAGTTTATTTCTTGACCCTCTGTGCCAGCTTGGGAGCCTCACGTGTTGTATCCTTTCCTCCAGTTCTCTCTGCCCCCAACAAAAGCATGGCTACTACTTGGCAGGCTCAGCATTCCTTGGCTTTTAAATTGCTTCACATCTCAAAATTCTCCCATAATCCAAGCAAACTTGGCAGCTTCCATTTCTTTTAGGTGCTTTAAGAAAAGCAGCTTTATTGAACCTTACACTAAGATATAAATGAGTAATAATCCTTGAACATCCCAAAGATATCTGCATTTTCAATTCCATCTACAGAAAGAGAGAGATTTTTAATTGGTAGGAAGTTGAGGAAAGTAAAATGAAATTTTAAAAGAAAAAAAATTCCTTTAGTTTGAGAGAGGTCTGCACGCATGGACAGACCAGACCTCCTGAAGTCAGATTCTTAAACTGTTTTTTCACAACTTCTTTCCTTCCGCCTGTTCTGAATCCAGGGAAACTCTAAATGTTCCTTCCTGACCCCTTCCCGCTGGCATGACAGCTTTAATGGGAATGGCTGAGGCTCCAGCAGTTGAGATAAGGGATAAACATTTGTAATTTTATCTGTTATTTATAAGTCTGTTATTTTTAAGTCAGGAAATGTCTATGTTGGTAAAATTTCTAAAGTCCCACAACTAAAATGGTGACAAATAAACTGTTTTCTCAAATATCAAGTGAATGTTTAAAAATCAAATAAAGAAATGGAAGACATCCTTCTTTGAACCATTTTGCTCTTACATTATTTCTGCTCTTCTGAAAAGTACAAAGAGGGAGGAAGAGAAAATACAAAAAGTCAAAGAGATTCTTAATATCCCCTTACTTAAGAACGGACAAGCACATGATTTGGGAGATGACCCAAACTGCAATGTTTCCATGTTCCTTTGAGCTTTTTAAAATGTGATTTTGAAGAAATTAAAACAAGAACTGCAATTTTCCAAAAATTACTCAGTATTTGAGATGTGTATAGATACACACACATATATACACACATAAATATGGAAATTACTTATGTGTATGTGAATTTATATATATATACATGTGTGTATGCATGTGTACATATATATGTCTATGTACATAGGTACACATGCCCACATAATTGGATTTTTTCCTAAATTTGTATACTTTCTTCTTTTTTCTTTGAGATGGAGTTTCGCTCTTGTTACCCAGGCTGGAGTGCAATGGTGCGATCTTGGCTCACCACAACCTCCGCCTCCTGGGTTCAGGCAATTCTCCTGCCTCAGCCTCCTGAGTAGCTGGGATTATACGCACATGCCACCATGCCCAGCTAATTTTTTGTATTTTTAGTTGAGACAGGGTTTCACCATGTTGACCAGGATGGTCTCGATCTCTTGACCTCGTGATCCACCTGCCTCAGCCTCCCAAAGTGCTGGGATTACAGGCTTGAGCCGCCGCGCCCGGCTAAATTTGTATACTTTATCATAACTTACTCACTCATGATGATTGAGATTATTTTGTAATTCTTTGCATTAGAATATTAGCATTTTTATAATACTGGTCACAGAAGATCAAAAACAGCAAATATGGTTAACACTGGGCTGAAACTGAAAGTTACAGCTTTTGTCCCGTACCATGCAGCTCTGTTAACACCAAAACTTTTAAACTATTATATAAATAACTGCCAAAAGACATAAAATATGCAATCACTCTCTCTCATCGCTGAATTTGAGATCTGGGTTAACGAAGGTTATTTGTATCATATGCCATGGCAACAATAACCAAAATACCAAACACATGTTCTTCCAGATATCTAGAATCATCCTAATCTAAACTATTAAAGGGTCTTCCTTTACTGGCTCAGCAAAATGTCACCTAGACAGGAAACAATTTAGGTGGTAGAGACCCCATCAAAGGCTTGAAAGAAGACTACTAGTCTTTTTTTTTTTTTTTGGCAGGGCCTCCTATCACTGTTGGAAGCTACCTTAAGGAGATTTAGAACATTATTAATAGTAGACAAAAATCAACAAAAGGGGAAAGGGAAGTATAAACATCCCAGTGCTTCCCTTTGCCTCGGAAAAGCTGTACTTCTCCAGTGACAGGACCTTCCTGCTGGCTTTGGGTCAGATCACCATTTAGTGAATATGCAGTCTTCTCTCCAACAGAGTCACATGCTCTGAAACTCTGTCAGTACCAGGAAGATGTATGTTTTCTCTGTACAATTCAACCACAGGTTGAATCAAGGGAAGAAGGGTTGAGTAGTAGAAAGAGTCTGGAGTCAGGTATCGCTGAATTCCAATCCTACTTTTGCTGTTCATTAGATGTGTGTGGCCAAGGGCACATTTCTGAGCCTCAGTTTTCTCATGTGTGTAATGGGAATAATAGAGCCTGTCTCATAGGTTGTTGGTGTGTTGTTTTTGTGATGTACCTAGCATACAGCAGTAAGGGTGGCTGTGGACCTTATTAGAGTGGCCATAATATAATGACCCAAGAGCTCCAGTCTACCCTAGTAGATCTTTATAATCTGGGAGGATGTTATGGTTTTCATGCATTAAGACTGTTCTTCTGGGTCAAGTGTCATATGACAGAATAACTGAGATGACTTTTATAGGCTCTTCAGACAAGTAGGATTCTGGAATGGAGATGGGACAATGTAACAATTAAGTTTGAACTTCTACCTAGTAAGTGAACGTTTTTTAAACATTAGCAGAGCGATTTGGGGAAAAGAGTATGGAATTTGTTTCCTCTTCATTGCTACCCATTAGAAGCCCCCAGATTAAGTCCAGTTCCTCCACTCATTAACTAGGTGGCCTAAACAAGTTCATTTACATCTTGAAACTTCAGTTTCCTCATATGTAAAAATACCTTGCTTGTCTCTCAGGGCCGTTGTGGGCATTAAAATAAGATAATGCATATAAAAAGCTGTGTAAACTCCACAGTTCTCAACAAATATGCTTGTATTTGTTACGAAGGTTAAAGTCATTCAGCAACAATATTCAAACCTTGCTATAGAATTACTCTGTAATCACAGTATTTAACACAAGGCAGATCTTTCTCAGAACTCAAATTTAATTTGCATAATAAAATCTCTCATTGGCTTTATTTTAAGGGGACATGGATATGGATAAAGACTAAAGACCTATTCTAGTATTCTATTCTATTCTATTCTATTCTATTCTATTCTATTCTATTCTATTCTATTCTATTCTATTCTATTCTGTTCCCTTCTGTTCCCTTCTGTTCCTTTCCACTCCGTTCCATTCCATTCTATTCTATTCCATTCTTTTGGAAGGGTCCAAGTTTCCATGTTTTCCATGACGTGGGACAGAAGACTTTTTCATATTTGTACTTTTAAGATAATTAATACAAGCCCAATAATAAACACACTGAATATAATTGTTAGTTAAAATGATTGCCTTTTAAAAAATGCTTTCTTTCTTATTTCAGAAAACCCATATTTATGTTACGTATGTGACTCTCGCTACTAAGAAGTAGCCAGTACTGGTATTTTAGGTTGCAACTTTTCATAATATGCTGTGTATCAATATATAGAGAAAAACATAGATATCAGCTATAGAGTTTATAAAAGTGTATCTAAACTTTGTTTCATATGTCTTTTTCCTTCGATAATATGCCACAAATATTTCCATGTCTTCACAATGACATTTTAAGAGCTATCTAATGTTCTTTTGAGGACACATCCTGTTATTTATTCAACGTAGCTTTTACGTTAGATGATTTTTTTTGTCTCCATTTGTTTCTGTTTTGAACAGAAATGTCAAGACCATTTTTGTGGCTATATCTTTCTACATATTCCTGATTATTTCCTTGAATAAACTGCTTAAAAGGGAATTACTCATTCAAGTGCTATGTGAAATAATAAGACTTCTGGTAAGTGTTGCTGAATTGCCCTTTATATGATATGCCAACTGATGCTCACACCAGTCTTTTATTAGTGCCCATTTCTTCCTATTATCATCTATTAAATAGTTATTGAAGAATGCTTTAGACACATAAACAAAAAAATTAAAGCCTCCATAATCTCACTGTTACCAACCCTTGTTAACATTTGTTATATATTTTAGAGTATTTATTTTATAATGTGTATTTTTAAAAATTCTTTGGTGAATTATCTTTCTTATTAATTTGGAAAAGCTCTTATATGTTGCATTTTTTTTCCTTTAAATTTTGTTCCTGGGATATTTTGGTGTGCGTTATGTTTTTATTTTCATTGCTCAAATTTATCCTTTTAAGACTTTTGAAGGGAGGGATAAGAGAGATTTGCTAATGGAAACAAAATCGCAGCTAGATAGAAGGAATCAGTTATACTCTTCTATAGCACCTTAGGATTACTCTAGTTAACAATAGCATGTTGCAGTTTCAAATAGCTGGAAGAACACTGAATGGTCCCAGTGTAAAGAAATGCTAAATGTCTGAGGTGATGGGTATGCTGATTACCTGATGTTATCACTCTACATTACAGGTAGTGAAGTTTCACTATGTATTCCATAAATATGTACAATTATTATTTGTCAATTATTTTAAAAAGAGCTTTAGCTGTTGTGTCATGCATGCAAAGGCCTTTCACATTTGATAAAATTTTCATTTTTGCTAATCTCTTTTTACATTTAGCTCCTTAATCTACTGGGAATCAATTTGGCATCTAGTGTGAGGCTGAGAATCCTTTTGTTTCTTAAAGAGCTAATCAATATCCATTGTTTAAAATTTTCCTTTCATGCTCAATGGGAAGTTCATATTCCTTGGACTTTTATGCAGTCTTACTCGGTTTAGTTTAGCTCTCTTAGTAAAGACCAATACCACACCAGTTAAATGATTTTAGATTCATCATCAATTGAAGATAGAAGCACAGCAAATTCTGCCTTGTTATTTCTCCACAAGAATTTTTTAGGTTTTGCCAAAATGCTTATACTACCAAAACAACAACTGCCTTTAAAAATATTTTGATAGGGTATTTAGATTTTATTGGTTCATGCTAAGAGAAGCTTTTTTTGTTTTGGAGACAGAGTCTCACTCTGTTACCCAGGCTGGAGTGCAGTGGCGTGATCTCGGCTCACTATAACCTCCGCCTCCCAGATTCAAGTGATTCTCCTGCCTCAGCCTCCCAAGTAGCTGGGATTACAGGTGTGCCCCACCACACCAGGCTAATTTTTGTATTTTTAGTAGAGATGTGGTTTCACCATGTTGGCCAGGTGTGGACCACCTAATTCTTTGTTTACAGCAAAGAGTTGTTGATGCCTATGTCTCTACTGAACTGACCCTCTTAGGGGCAGAGATTTTGTTTTGTTTCTTACCATGATTTTCCCACTACCTGGCCCTTCTCACATTTTCCTCACTCAAAAGATATTTTAAAGCACATTGAATAAATAATTTCATGTCTCCCTAAAAATACATGTAAGAGACATTAACTCATGACTTTCTAAGAGATCTAACCTTTAACTGTATAAATAACTACAAATAAATATTTCATGACTCTCTAAGAGATCCAGCTTTTTACTGTAGATCCTGCTTCCTTTTCCTTCCTTTTAAAGAACAGATGAAAATGTGCGCACACACACACATACACATGCGCACACACACACACACACACACACCCCACAACACACAAATGCAGGATTGTAAATAAACAGAACTGGAAGCTTCAGTGAGCTAAGCATAATTCACCCCAACTTTCCAAATGGAGAAAATAGGGGTGGTGGGGTGTCAGAAACAGAGAAAGACCTTCCAAAATTACATGGGAAATCAACTATGTTTGAAAAATGAAGCCATTTTCTGTATTTTCTGTAAAAATTTACATCACTCATTTTCATCAATATAGAAAACAAAAGCAAGGGAAAAAGTCCTGGTGCCTACTGTCATATCCAGGCCACTGACGACATTTCAATTGCGTCAGCTCCGTCCTGCAGGTGCTTTGCCAACCCAAAGACACACACTTGTTGATTCACGTTGGCACACTCAGGGCTCGGTGCTATTTGGCTCACAGCTTTCTCACTCTTCTGTGGTTCTTATAATTTCTGGTGACTCTGATTTTTGAAAATTATCTTTAAACAAATCATTCAAACCATCCTAACCAAAACATTCTAAACATTTTTTCTCTACACCTACTGCTTGTCAAGTGGAGTCTCAAATAGCAGCAGCATAGAATAATCTAGAACTTTGTTTCCCTCAACAATTAATCACTGTACATCTACAATCTACATATTTGAGAATTATGTAATTTAAATTATAAAATTTCTGCATGGATCCGGTTCATGCTTTGAAAGTCATTAGAATAAGTGAGGGACAATATCATACAAAAATTATCTTCAAAATACAATAGGGTTTCACCAACTCAAAAAGTTTTAGAAAGCTTTGGTAGATTTTTATGTTTGAAATATAATATCAAAAATAAACTGGGCACAATGACTCACATCTGTAATCCTAGCACTTTGGGAGACCGAGCAGGTGGATCACAAAGTCAGGAGTTCAAGACCAGCCTGGCCAACATGGTGAAACCCCATCTCTACTAAAAATACAAAAATTAGCTTGGTGTGGTAGCAGGCACCTGTAATAGCTACTCAGGAGGCTGAGGCAGAGAATCACTTGAACCCGTGAGGCAGAGGTTGCAGTGAGCCGAGATGGCGCCACGGCACTGCAGCCTGGGTGACAGAGCAATACTCTGTCTCAATAAATAAATAAAGCCAACATTTACATAGTGATTACTATGTGACAAAACCCGTTACAAGGGTTTTTCCTATTTGATCCTCAAGACGAGTGCTGAAAATGAATCCTAAGATTCATGCCCCCCATTTTGCAAATGAGGAAATTGAGACACAGAGAGGTTAATTGACCTTCCCAAAAGCACACAGCCAATAAGCACAGAGCTGAAGTGCAAACCAAGGCAGACTCAGTCCAGCATCCATGAACTCAACTCTTACACTGTTTATTGACTGTAGCCTTAAAATATAGAAACATTCAAAGCCCACGAAAGCAATGAATTTTATTTGAAATTACTGCCCTGTTGGACTGAATATCTCTTGGTATTGAAACATGACTATGCATTTGGAAATTAGAGTACCTGAAGCTCAGAGCTGAAAATATCTCATATTTGCTATGTGTCTCTGTCTGTTTCATGCTTCTATAACAAACTATCTGAGACTGGATAATTTATGAAGAATGGAAATTTATATTCTCACAGTTCTGGAGGCTGAGAAGTCTAAGGTCAAGGTTCAGTTGTGCAGTGAGAGCTGCTCTCTGCTTCCAAGATGGCACCTTGTGGCTGCACCCTCTGGAGGGAAGGAAGGCTGTGTCCCACAGGGCAGAAAGCAGGGCAAGGGAACCAAATGCTGTGTGAAGACTCTTTGATAAGGGCTTTAATATCATTACCGATGAGAGGAGCCCTCATCACCTAATCACCTCTTAAAGGCTTCACCTTTTGCGGCCAATGCATTGGCCATTAAGTCTCCTGGATTTTGCAGGATTCAATCTGTAGCACTGTGAATAAAAGTAGTAGGTTGGAGTTATTAAAATAACCAAAAAAGTTATTTAAAGAAAAATACGCATACTGAAATGCATACATTTTTGAAGTAAAATATTCTGAATAATAAAGACAGGAATGTTGCAGGGCATTGTTAATGAACTCAAGCCTATTCAGAGAATCATGATGAGACCGTGGTGGAGGAATGGGAGAACAGGTGGTGATCTGTGTAATACACACCCGGAAAATATTGCAAGCCGCGTTCGATGAAGTGCAGCTGTTAGATACATCATAACGTGATTGACTTACAGGGCTTACCTCTTCTACAGCAAATGAGACTTGACTTGACTTCATTCTAATTACAACAGATGGCCAGCCTAATGAGGACCAGCAGAGGGCAACATTTTAAGAGCTACATGTGAAAGAGAAGAGCCAAAAATTGTCCATGAACGTTGTCAAGCTCATATCTTGACAGCAGTGACAAGGACTTAGTGATGACAAGGATTTATGAAAATATTTTAAAACTTAAAGACACTTTCAATATTACTAATTCTGTATACAACAAACATTCACCTATCTGCAAAAAAAATGTTACCAAGTTTTGCAGTGAAATCATATTGGACAGTATGTCATCATTGTTTATTAGCTGTGATTGAGAAGTTTCTTGAGCCTAGTAAAACACTGGGAATTGCATCGAGTAGTTCTTTACACAGGTCTGCAGAGAATCCTTCTGTCTCACACCTCCTACAGGTGTGCACCACCATGCTTGGCTAACTTTCTTTCTTTTTTTTTTTCCATAGAGACAGGGTCTCCTTATGTTTTCCAGACTGGTCTCAAACTCCTGGGCTCAAAGAATCCTCCTGCCTCAGCCTCCCAAAGTGCTGGGATTTACAGGCATGAACCACCATGCCCAGCCCAGCCCAGCCCACCATTTGTCAGAAAGAAGCGATGATGTGTGTGCCTCATTCTTGGAAATAATTCCTAGGAACAAAAGAACCAAAATCTCAGTAACCATCTCTGAAGGCATCAGGAACTTAGAACCAATAATCTAAAACCTGGTGAGATTCTGTCTTGAAGATATTGTTTCTGAGCCTCCGCATACACAGATGATGCAAAAATGTATGTTTCCAGTCAGCCCTCTGCTCTAAGCTCCAGCCCCATCTAACCAACTGCTCACATGGATATCTCAAACGCATCTCAATGTCAACACCTCTAAATCCAAACTTCTAATTACTTGATCTTCTTTCATTGTTCTCTAGTTCAGTGACTAGTATCATCCACATAGAAAGAAACCCAGCAGTTACCCTTAACATTTTCCTTGAAACCTGTTGTTCCCAATATCCCATCAATCATGAAAAACTACAATCTTGCTTCCTACTTTTGAATCTGTCCAATTATCTCCACTCCCAGCACCCAAGGGATGCACTATCCCACTCCCAGGATCACTATTCTTATATGCAATCACAGAGTGACCCTTATGAAGTTGGGCAAGGTTGTGGTCCTGTCACCATCCCCATCCTAGGTACACAATTATTGTTTCTTGTCTGGCTACTGCAAGGAACTCAACACTCGCCCTGTTTCTCTTCAGGCCCCATTGAATCTGTGCTTCCTACTTCAGATGACTTTTTAAACCCAAATGTACCTGTGCATGCTTCCTGACTGAGACCCTTGTGAGAAATCCCATTGCCCTTAGAATAAAGACTCAAGTCTTTAACATGTTACATCAGCCTCTGCAATGTCCTGTTCCAACCTACCCAGACCCAGCTCACATCATTTCCTCAAGATGTTTTTGATTCATCCATGGGCATCTTCTATCAGTCCCAGAAACCTGCCATGCTCCCTGTTCACACAAAGACTCACACATGCAGACCTCTGTCCATAAAGCCTTTGTCTGGTTAACACCTACTGATTTGTATCAGTTACCTGTTGCCGCTAATAAACACTTCAAAACTCAGTCTCTTCAAATAACAGACACTGATGGTAGCTCACAGATCTATGGGTCTGCTGGATGGGTCAGTGGCTCTGGGCCAGGCTTGGCTGATAGCTGGGCTTGATCATGGGACTGCGCTCACTTAGCAGGTCAGCCGCAGCCTGGCTTTTCCTGGATAGCCTCACTCACATGTCTGGCAGTTAGGTAGCTGTTAGTTAAGATGTCAGGGGCAACTGGACCAACCAACCATGTGTTTCTTTTTATCCCTCAGCCTAGACCAGCTTATTCCCATGGATGGCAGCATTGGGGTTTTTAAGGAGTGAATGGCCATACACAAAGCCTCTTAGGGTCTGCATTCAGAACTGACAGACTGAACATCAATTCTGCTGCATTCTATCGGCTAAAGTAAATAACGATGTCAGCCCAAATGTAAAAGATCATGAAATAGATTCTCCTAATGGGACTGGTTGCAGAATCACCTTGTAAAGAAACAGAAAGGGTTGTTAATCAATCTACCACATTATTTTTCAGATACAGGATCAAGATGAGATTCTTGAGGGAGGCCTCTCACAAGCTACCTGCTTAAACTGCATTGCCCCACTATGGACTCACTCTATGAACCACTTCTTCATGGCACTTGGCACAGTTGAAATGTCACATGTATTTGTGTGATTATTTGCCTAAGATTAGTTTCAAATCCTCCCTTCCATACACCACTTCCCCCAAGACTTAGAGGTCAATAAAAAGCCAATGTCCCCTTTCCCAGCACCTGGCACCAAGTAGGTAGTATTCCATGAATATTTGTTAAAGAATGATTTCACTTCCCATTGTGTTATTTTGAGAATATATTTTCTGTTCCCTGATACATGCTTTAATTTAGGGAAAAAGAAAAGGACCTTTTGCTTTTTGGGAGGAGGCAGTCAGAGGATATTGAGTCCTGTGCACAGCAGAATCCCCAAGGGATAAAGCGATGATCATTGCCTCTTTGGTACCTGTGGCAAAGAAAGAACTGCATGGATTGGCCACTGGGGGCTGCGAAGTAGCTTTAGAACTTAAAATACAGAGACTCTCATGAATTGAGACCCATGAAAGCAAAAAAAAAAAAATTATGAAACAACAGGTTATTGGGAAAAGATAATGGGTTTCATTGTAGATTTGTTCAGTTTGAGGAACATTCCTGAACCTAATACTTGAAAAAGAGCTGGAGATTGGACAGGGTATTAGTCTGTTCTCACATTGCTATAAGGAAATACCTGAAACAATAATTTTATAAGGAATAGAGACTTCATTGGCTCACAGTTCTGCTGGCTGTATAAGAAGCATGATGGCACCTGCTTGGTTTCTGGGGAGGCTTCAGGAAACTTACAATCATGGCAAAAGGCAAAGGGATAGCTAGCATGTCTCATGGCCAGAGCAAGAGAAAGGGGGGCAGTGGGATAAGCTACACATTACACAACAAGATGTCATGAGAACTCACTCACTATACAATACCAAGGGGTGATAGTGCCAACCCATGAGAACTCTGACCCCGTGATCCAATCACCTCCCACCAGGTCCTATCTCCAACATTAGGGCTCACAATTAGACATGAGATTTGGGTAGGGCCACAGATCCGAACCCTATGAGGCATCTGGAGTTGGGAGTTCACAGTGTATATACTTAAGAGCAATCTCAACCGTAGACGTAAATGAGAGTGGGCAGAGTAGGAAGAGAAGGCTAAAGATGGAACTTGAAGGAGACTCACATTTAAGAAGCAAGAGGAATAAGTAGGGTGAGGGGCAGTGAGGAATACTCAGAGAAATGAAAGCAGAAGTAAGAAAGAGCCAGTCTCCGAAGTTAGAGGAGGGAAGAGTTTCAAGGAGGAAGTGACCTCCACCACCAAACGCAGCTAAGAGGTCAAAGGTAAGACACAAGAAATAGTTGCTTCAAAATGACATATGCTCTGAGTGTTATGAGTTATTTTTTCTCAAAGGATTATTTGTAATGATGTGTATATTCTAAAGTTCTTAAATTTAACGTGGTATAAGTTGCAACAAGGCAATTTATAAGGCTAAAAATCTAGACACAGTGTCCACTTTGTATTTGAACTTCTGCTTTGAACAATTTTTAAGCCCCATCCAGATTTCTGTCCTCTTCCCACAATGCTATTTGGCCTCTCATTTCTCTGCATGTGTGGAATTAGTTATTTTGGTAATTTTTACTGCCACTCATATCAGTAAAAATATCAGTATAGGTTAAGTCTAATTTATTTTTATATGCTACTTAACTTCAATGAAATGTTAACCCCAATTTTTGTAAAGGCTAGAATAGCTAATTAAGCAAATAGGACATGTTGGAGCCCTATTATCAAGTAAAAATATTGCTGCCATACCTGGAACAAATTCATTTATTTGCTAAATAAATGTTGACTATTGAGCTGATCAACTAAAACATGTTTTGAATTACCTCTGGATTCTGTCTTTTGGAGAATTCCACATAAAAACCATCAAAAGGGAGGAAAAATTAAGCTAGAAATACCGAATGTTACAGATGCCTTTCTCTTCCTTCATAGTTTCCTTTATTTATTTATTTATTTATTTATTTATTTATTTATTTATTTATTTATTTTGAGATGAAGTCTTGCTCTGTTGTCCAGGCGGAGTGCAGTGGCATGATGTCAGCCCACTATAACCTCCTTCTCTTGGGTTCAAGACATTGTCCAGCCTCAACCTCCCAAGTAGCTGAGATTACAGGCATGTGCCACCATGCCCAGCTAATTTTTTTGTATTTTTAGTAGAGACAGGGTTTCACCATGTTGCTCAGGCTGGTCTCGGACTCCTGACCTCAAATGATCCATCCACTCCGGCCTCCCAAAGTGCTGGAATTACAGGCATCATGAGCTACTGCACCCGGCCCCTTAGTAGTTTTCTAATGTTTAGCTAATCATGAGCACAATTGTTTGCCAGTTTCTGTCTTCTTTGTCTTTTAAACAACTATTTTATTGAAAGGATTTCAGATTCATTATTTCATGGAGTGCAGTGGCGTGATCTCAGCCCAAAAATAGCTGGAGCCTCCCAGGTACAAGCCATTCTCCTGCCTCAGCCTCCTGAGTAGTTGGGATTACAGGCACCTATCACCATGCCCAGCTAATTTTTGTACTTTTAGTAGAAACGGGGTTTTGCTATGTTGGCCAAGCTGGTTTCGAACTCCTGGCCTCAGATGATCTGCCCAACTTGGCCTCCCAAAGTGTTAGGATTACAGGCGTGAGCTACCTTACCTGGCCCTTTCTGCAATATTTTTAAAATTCAAAATAAAATAGCCATGCTGTATTGACTTGAAAGCATACGATGAAGTTCATTCATTTTCGCTGCTGTGAAGTATTTAATTCAGTGGTCCAGTCTTCTACTACTGACTGCTTAGGTTGTGTCTAATTTTTTTGCTGCTACAGTAAGTCTGCCATGTGTATCTTTTACACACTTTTGTGGATGTATATAAAAGCATTCCCAGAAAAGTGGAATTGCTAGGTCATAGGTTATACACACCTTGAGCTTTGCTAGATTGCCAAACTGTGCTAAGAAGTTGCACCAGTGTCACCACCTTACAATGTTATCACCAATGTATACTCCAACAGTGACTCAGAGCTCTGATTTCCCTGTATAACGACCACCACTTTGTACTGTTAAACTTTTAAACTCTGTGTCAATTTCCTGAAAGTGATATGGTATGGCTTAGTTTAGAACCAGTCAGGTGGGTGGCTCATGACTGTAATCCCCGCGCTTCCAGAAGCCAAGGCAGAAAGATGGCTTGAGGCCAGGAGTTTGGGACCAGCCTGGGTAGCAGTGAGACTCTGTCTGTACAAATATACTTTTTAAAATGAGCCAGGTGTGGTGGCATGCACCCGTACTCCCAGTTACTTAAGAGGCTAAGGCAGGAGGATTACTTGAGCCCAGAAGTCTAAGACTCCAGAGAGCCATGACTACGCCACTGCATTCCAGCCTGGGTGATGGAGTGAAATTCTGACTCAAAAATATACATAAATACAAGAATAGAATCCTAAGTTGATAATGGGGTTCCCATTGTCATCTGGCATCTAATGTTGCAAATGATAAACACACTATCAGTTTACCTGTCATTCTTTTTTGGCACCTTATTTCTCTGTTTTAATTTTTTTTTGAGATGGAGTCTTGCTCTGTCACCAGGCTGGAATGCAGAGGCACAATCTTGACTCACTGCAGCCTCCGACTCCCTGGTTCAAGCGATTCTCCTGCCTCAGCCTCCTGAGTAGCTGGGATTACAGGCATGTGCCACCACATCCAGCTAATTTTTGTATTTTTAGTAGAGATGGGGTTTTACCATGTTGGCCAGAATGGTCCCAATCTCTTGACCTCATGATCCGCCCACTTCAGTCTCCCAAAGTGCTGGGATTACAGGAGTGAGCCACTGCATCTGGCCTGTTTTAATGTTTTATCTTTGTTTTTGTCACTATGTAGTTTACAGTAACATAATTTTGTATTTTTCGTTGTTGTGGTTTTTGAGACAGGGTCTCCATTGGTCGCCCAGTCTGGATTGCAGAAGTGTGATCATAGCTCACTTTAGTCTTCAGCTCCTGGTCTCAAGTGGTCCTCCTGCTTCAGCCTCCTGTGTAGCTGGGATTATAGTCATGCAACGCCAGACCCAGCTAACTGTTTTAAAAATTATTTTTGTAGAGACAGGGTCTTGTTATGTTGTCCAGGCTAGTCTTGCACTCCTGGCTTCAAGCAGTCCTCCTATGTCAGCCTCCCAAAGTGCTGGGATTATAGGTAGTA